AAATGAAAGACCTAGGACCAGAATTGAGGTAACCAAAGTGAAAAGAGTGTACACATTTTATTGCTCTTGGGCGCTCCCGGGTAACTCGTTCTTACTTTCTCTGTTTGCTTCGGGTGGTAAGCCGAGCTTTTGGAGTGTATATGAATTTACGCCTCTAGATAATTCTGTCGCGAACAAATTGATACCAAATTTAATATCTTAGGACGAGAATTGAGGTGACAAAGTTGAAAAGAGTATACACTTTTCAGAATTACCGCACGCTCCCGTGAATTCCCCTCAGCCACCTGGGGTAATGTGCAACCCGTCCTCTTAAAACTAACGTCACTTTTGGCTCGTATACGCACTATGGCCAAATTTGGACGTAATTTGAAATGAAATCGACTCTCAAAAGTGACGTACTGTTCCGTTTTCTGTTTGAGTCGTCCAGCCCTCCTCGGACAGCTTAGAAGAGGAATTTTCAATTAACGTTTTTCATAACGTTTTGAAACTTTATTAGAATTTCCTGCCCACCTAACCTATCAGAGGACCCTTAACTTACTGTTGTTGAAAAAAAAATCCCAAATTTATTTTCAATTTTTTTTTCATTTTCATATTACGTCCATATTCGGCCATACGGGCAAACGGCCAAAAGCGACGTTCTTTTTAAGAGGACAGGTTGACGTTGGCAACCCGTCCTCTTAAAAATAACGTCACTTTTCGCTCGAATGCGCGCTATGGCCAAATTTGGATGTAATTTGAAATGAAATCGACTCACAAAAGTGACGTACTCCTCCGTTTTCTGTTTGAGTCGTCCGGCTTACTCTGCCAGCTTAGAAAAGGATTCTTTCCATTAACGTTTTTCATACCGTTTTGAAACTTTATGAGAATTTCCTGCCCACCTAATCTATCAGAGGACCCTTAACTTACTGTTGTTGTTGAAAACAAAATCCCAAATTTATATTCATTTTCTTTTCAATTTCAAATTACGTCCATACGGGCAAACGGCCAAAAGCGACGTTCTTTTTAAGAGGACAGGTTTGTGTGTGTAGTACTTGTGGGCCCAAAGCGTGAAATGCTAATTAACATCGATTGTTAGCAGGCATAGGTTTCTTAGGGTTTAAAACTATACCTGTAAATAGACAGCCTCCTGCTGATCTGAGCAGTCATGCACTTTTGTTTAGTTTGTCCAGTAATAAACTGGTAGTAGTGGTCTGCCTCTACTAGTAGATTCACATCGGTAAGGCAGTCAGACGTTATCTTGCTGTCAGCCAATTTGAGTCCGTGCTTCTGTAGGAATCTAGCTGTGTTTCCTACACCCTTTACATTTAGGTCAAATGGGATATGATCAACCACTATGGCCTGAACATGTCAGACATGTTCAAACATGACAAACCTAGGTGTACTAGAGGTTGGACTACTGTATAGTCGTGGGGTCCTCTATTTATCATGGAATCTGACAGGTTTCATTTAACCTGTGTTACTGGTTTTAGTTTAGGTGCCTCTGCCACTTTCTGTGTGACGAAGGTTTTCTGGGACCCTTGATCGAATAGGCCTCGAGTGGGGATCTTGGCCCCTTTTGTTTTTGATTAGGAGTTGGGCAGTGGGCAATGTTGCATTAACTTGAGATGTTGGTAATTGTACGCTGTAATTTTCTCGCGCCTTGCAGCACTGCGCTTGTGTGTATTTTCTTACCTTCTCTTATCCTGGGGTTTGAATATTTTGTTTTAAAATATTTGCACAGTGCAGCATGATGCTGGCCCCGTCTACACCTATTGCTTGTGTTCAGTGGGGTCTCACAGCTGTTTGTGTTATGTGGTTTGAGACACCTGGTACATCTGTGTAACTAACTGCTCGAGTCGTCTGACTCGGGGTGTCTCTATTAGGATAATTTGTTCCGTTATATAGAGATTATTCTTGATGGCAAAACAGACATAACCCCCAGCCAACAGCATGTTTAAGAGTCACATGTTTAGGTGAAACAGTAACTAAAGGTTTTGAGGGATTTGCTGCTTGCATGTTCTTACTGCCTTGTTTCTTCTACTTTGGTGTGGAAATGTTTGACTGTTGTTTCTTGGGAGTACTTATGGTACTCATAGGTCTCGCTGATAAATCAGTGTTTGACAGTCATTAGACTGATTGTTAGTACCCTTTTACCTAATGACTGTGTCACTTTAGGAGATTCAGTTAATGAATTTGATGTGGGTTCTCTTTATATAGATTTAGTATAGGCTTTAAGTGCCTGGTTTGCTTGTCTTTTATTCACGACTGTACGCAAACCTTTTATGATATCCTGCAGTGTCAGGATGGTGTTATTTTGATATGAATGTAACTCATTTAGCCCCTCGCTGGACAATTGTCTTTGAATTAATATTTTAGTCATCTACTCAGCAGTGAGTTGATCCACTTCGCTGATGAATGATTTTAACAGTAAATCGAGTTTTAGACAAAAGGCTTTCAAGGAGTCAACTGATTGATCTGGCTGAGTTATGTCCAGTAGCTCGTGCACGAGATTTATGACAGCCAGCACTTTCTCTAGTGAGCTGGATTGCTTGATTAGTGCTCTCATGTTCAGCATTACCTCTAGCTGGGAGCTGGTCGGCCGAGCGAACAGCACACTGGACTTGTGATCCTGTGGTCCTGGGTTCGATCCCAGGCGCCGGCGAGAAACAATGGGCAGAGTTTCTTTCACCCTATGCTCCTGTTACCTAGCAGTAAAATAGGTACCTGGGTGTTAGTCAGCTGTCACGGGCTGCTTCCTGGGCGGGGACACTAAAAAAAAAAGCCCCGAAATCATCTCAAGATAACCTTAAGATATAGGAGGTTGGTTTGATTGATTAGGATTATCACTATTTTGGTTTAAAATTTCTGATTCGGCTTCAGGCTTTAATTCAGCTTTAGCTTTTGTTTCAGCTTCAATTACTGTCCTCGGTTCACCTTAGAGGTCTAATAGTTCAGTAGCCTCGTGTTTTGAATTCTCAGAATCCACAGAAAATATGGATAAAGTTTCTAAGAACTATTCTGATTTTGTTAGTGTATCATTTGGTGAAGCTGTGTTGGATGAGGCTGTAGAAAATAAAGGTTTAACTTCAATTATTGATCCTATGTAAGTATCTAATTTGATTAGAAGAGTATCCTCATATTGATTTAGCTCATTGATTTTATCTGATGAGCTGGGTGCTTGATCTGGTTCAAGCATACTGTAAAAGTGGTCTAACCCAGCATTAATGTCTTCATAATCGTCCAGATCCGATAAGATTTGCTCCTTCCCTTCATCTTCAGTATCACAAGCAAGGAGCTTGTTTCTGTAAGATTTTTTCATTCTCCTTCACCTGGGCAAATCATTTCTCCAAGACTTGTAATTTAAGTTTCAGCTGATTATGATCAATTGGAGACTTTCGTGTAAATTTTTCACATTGGTGAATAATTTTACCGCGTAATTTTTGAATGAGATTAGAGAACGTTTTGTGCTCTTTAGGTTAGCCATGGTGGCTATGGGTTCGAGCCTTATAGGGCATATATGGCTGTTATTAACAGCTATGGTACTTGCTCATATATACGTGGAGCAGGTACGGTTATTGATAGCCTAGTATTCAATTTTGACACTGGGCTATATAACTCCTACCTCCTGTGGAGGTTGGCATATTACCTAAGCATAAAACATAAGATTTGAGTGGTACTTTGGGTTCACTACGGTAGCACCTAGGGCTAGTCCTTCTCGTTCACCTTCGGTTGGTATAGTGACACCAAGTAACACTCAAAGTTGAACACAATAAAATATATAATAAAATATAAGTACACAAATCGTGTAAATAATGAGTCCTACCCTGCTTAGGGTCTGCACAATATTAAAAGTGGATTAACCAGTACTGCTTGATACAGTACTAGTCTGATAATAATTCTATCTAACAAAAATTACTAATACTAATGGGTTAGGCTAGAGTTGTACATAAGTCAGTAAAATTATAGTTTAAGTAATTCTAACCTATGTCGGTTGGCATATACTATAATAATAATAATAATATACAAATTGTTATAGCAGTGCTATGTTTTTGAATTTTGTAGTTTTTGTTTAAATAGAATATGGTTATAGAGAATACATAGAGAAAGAACAATGAAATATATACAAGTTAATGTTGGTTTTCTTGCCACAATCTTCTGTGATGATTAAGTGTATTGATTAATTTATTGACCACATATTTTCTAGACTCTCGTGACAAGTGTACTCCATCTGGAGCAAGGTTTTCACAAAATGGTCTAGCTGAAAAATGTATGTAAGTGACATCCAACCTCAACCTTCTTCTTAGCTGAAAATTTATATAGTTGGCTGCACGTTTGTAAAATTCGGGACTCAATTCCCAATGATTGCTACTTATTGGTTGGCAAGGTTCCACTAAAGTGAAGACAACTGTGCAGTTATTTTCCTTAATGGAATTGATAATATTTCTGAGATGATTTATGGTTTCAGCTGGGTGTCGAGTTGTATGTATATCATTGCCACTAAGTTAAATAATTGTTAAATAGTGTGGCCAGTCTAAAGCTGGTGTTAATACAGGATTATTATAAAATTTGTGAGCAGTTGCTCCAGGAGACCTGAATATTCTCACTTCAGTGTGAGGTATGTGTTGTGGGCAGCTGACTATGACCCACTATAACCACTTTATGCGTCAGGCCTTTTTTGACTATATTTATATATATATATATATATATATATATATATATATATATATATATATATATATATATATATATATATATATATATATATATATATATATATATATATATATATATGTTGTACCTAGTAGCCAGAACGTCGTACTCGGCCTACTATGCAAGGCCCGATTTGCCTAATAGGCCAAGTTTCCTTGAATTAATATATTTTCTCTAATTTTTTTCTTATGAAATGATAAAGCTACCCATTTCTTTATGTATGAGGTCAATTTTTTTTATTGGAGTTAAAATTAATGTAGATATATGACCGAACCTAACCAACCCTGTGCTTCATTTGCAACACCAACAAAAACAGAAGTGTTAGGCCACATGAAGAGTGTAGGTGGCCTGGTCAACACCCTGTGGAATGGCCTACGACTTGAAGACATCTTGTATTCTCTTAATGCCATGTATGCCATTATTTCCAACACTGACGGTGGATGGGAAGTATGTCCTGCCATGGCACACCTGCTCTCTCTAGTTCCTACTGTTGTGGTAGAGGCTCTTGCTCCTCGAATTGTGTCGGATCCCACAACCACCGATGCTGCTTTGACTGCAACTTTGACACGCCTTACTGCCTGGTTGGTGACGTGGCCCATCGCTCACGTAACGTTGGGCTTGTGGGTCCGCACCCTGGTTAAGCTGTTGTATCAGAGTGGACGCTCGTCTGTGCCCGCACGTGTTACCCTGGATGGAGTACCAAAGTTGATGAATGCTCTGCAAATCCCTGTGGTTCGCAATGGGATTGTGTCTGTGATATCAACACTTCTATTATCATTTCAGCACTCGCCAATAGCTTTTCATAAGATCATTCCATTGGTCATTGATGTGTTTAACCGCCTTGAGAGAGAGGGATCACAGTCCGCAACGTCAACACTGAGTCGCTTGGCCACCCTCGGCCACTCCCTCATGGCCTTGCATCCAGGTCACCCAGACACTTACCAGCCACTTATGGATATTCTTATGAAATACCAGTCTCCGTCCGAAGAAGACATTGAAGGCTTGATCCAAGAGCACCGATGGGCCGTGGCGGAGGGTGGAGCACGAGGGATTGGTACAAACCAGTACCCTGGAAACACAAACCGAAACTGTCTCTATTTTCCGCTTGTTACAACTTGTAGTAAAGTTGTTACATCTTGGCTTAACGTGTTTATGACGTATTAGAACGTTGTTACAACTTGCTATATTGGTTGTTATAACTGGTTAGGAGGTGTTAAAATTAGTTCGAACGTTGTAGCAACGTCGTAGTTTCGGTGTGTGTTTGGCGGGTATGGGGTGGCTGCCGCGACGCGCACAGTATACCAGCAGAGACCGGCAAGCCAGAGAGTGGGCCTTCGTAACTTGGGAAACACATGCTACATGAATTCTGTTATACAGGCCTTGTTTATGACACACAGCTTTCGTCATGGTATCCTGCATGCTGTACCACGGAGCAACCAGCAGCTTTTGGTGCAGCTGCAGCAGCTGTTCAGTTTGCTGTGTTTCACCCATCGCACGTATCGTCAGTTTCACGACAAGTCTCGACCCCCATGGTTCAATCCAGGCATGCAGCAAGATTGTTCTGAATATCTTAGGTTGGTAAATTATTGTCTATATATATATATATATATATATATATATATATATATATATATATATATATATATATATATATAATGTCGTACCTAGTAGCCAGAACGCACTTCTCAGCCTACTATGCAAGGCCCGATTTGCCTAATAAGCCAAGTTTTCATGAATTAATGCTTTTTCGACTACCTAACCTACCTAACCTAACCTAACCTAACTTTTTCGGCTACCTAACCTAACCTAACCTATAAAGATAGGTTAGGTTAGGTTAGGTAGGGTTGGTTAGGTTCGGTCATATATCTACGTTAATTTTAACTCCAATAAAAAAAAATTGACCTCATACATAATGAAATGGGTAGCTTTATCATTTCATAAGAAAAAAATTAGAGAAAATATAATATATATATATATATAGGTATATATATATATATATATATATATATATATATATATATATATATATATATATATATATATATATATATATATATATATATATATATATATATATATATATATATATATATATATATATATATATATATATATATATATATAGGGGGGTACCACCTCTGGTGCAATTATAGGGACCCACAGCCTCAGAGAAGGGAACACAGAGCATTCAGGGAAAAACTTGCCATTTAACTCTGAATACGTAAGAGTGTTCGCTTCTCCTACCACCCCCCTTTTTTATGGTGTACACTTTATTATGCAAGGTTATACAGTTACATATCTGATTTTATACAAAAAATTAACATTAAGAGGACACAAAAAAAAGTTCGCTTCCTAGAGGCTGTAGATTTCCTCGAACTCCTCCGACGCCGGGCAGGAACCGAGGATGCAGCGAGCATTCCCCCTCTGGATCGCGACACTGAGGCGCTGAAAGAGAAAACTTGCTGCTCTAGGGTCTCTTGTGGTGTCAATGAGCTTGGAACCAAGATCCTTAAGAAACCTTCTTGCACTCTCTCCCCATGGGCCTAGGGTCTCAGACCCTATTGGAACGAAGTTGTACCGATGATCTAATTGCCTGTACTTGGCTGACTTGTCTCTTTCTCTGCGTGTCGCCGCGGCTCCTGCTGTGCCGGCAGAGAGGTTGATGTATGTGGTTGCCAGGGTGGATACACAAGTATAGTCCCATGCCAACTGTCTGCCACCCTTCCACGGTCGCAGTGTGATTCCGTCTGGTCGGCCGGCAAAGCTAACAGAGTCACGGTTCAGTAGGTTGCGGGGCTCTCTCTCCGCTGGACACTGAGCAGAGGCAAGGCTTCTTTTAATGATGTCATTGACTTCGTCGTGTCTAGTGTGCCAACCACCAGATTTTCCACAGTGCAGGCCATGCAATCCATATTCGTCAGCATCTGCCTCGCCGCAAATACACCTATGAACAGTGTGGATAGGGGCAGCAAGACGGAGAGCGACTGCAATACGGAGCTCCTGCGGATCAAGACGTGTGCCTGTCGCAGACATAGGGACTGCCAAAAGGAAGTCCCCTGCATGGGGAGCCTGCACAGCTGTGAGGCGTGCACGATCACTGGGGGTTGTTGCTGCCTCCAGCAAAGCTGTGGCTTCTTTGTCTACAATGGGGCTGTCCCAACTGGATTGTTTCTTGGCTTTCGGCATGGCTGGTCTGAGTGCTGGGTCTGCCATGGCACCCCATTTCGTGTCGCATTCCGTGTAGTGGGGGTCCTGTATCCCCGCTACATCACTCAGGGTGTCAGGTAGAATTTCCTTAACCAGGTCATCTGATGCTGAGGAGGAAGACAGGAAGGCTGGGACAGCAATTTGGGTAGCAGTGCGGACACCCAAGCCACCGAGCCTAACAGGAAGAGTGGCTTGTTTCCACTGGCATTCGTTGAGGGAGAGGTTAACAACTTTTTCCAGCATGGTCTTCAGTAAGAGGTCATACTCTTCAAGCTTTCGGCTGTCGTAAGATGGGGCGCACCTCAGAAAGTAGGTTAGCCTCGGAAGGGATAGGCATTTGGTGAGGAGATAAAAAGCATCGTGGGCATCGATGTCACCTATTCTGTCTTCCATCCTCCTAAGGTCTGCGATTTTCTTGTCAAGGATCTCCTCAATGGCGTTAGACCCGAGGGGGGCTCCAAGGAGGGTGCTGTTCTCGGCCCTAATGACATGGGCTCCAGGCAAGGCAGACCTTATTCTAGCTACGATGTCTGGGTTGGAGGAGACTACTTCACACTTGGAAGGGTTCAGGACGAGACCCAGGCTTACTTCTTGCTCCCTTATTTTCCTGATATCTGCCAAGAGGTGGTCTACGGTGCCAGCTATAGTGCCATCATCCAAAAACCAGATGTTGAACTCGCTGGACAAGCTTTCGGTGATTTCTTTTAAGACTAAGCAGAAAAGAAGGGGAGCAAGAGGATCACCTTGCTGAACACCTTCACATGATCTGATTTCATGTTCACCAAAGAGCAGTTTTGACTCGCCACTGTAGCACGATAGTATGAACGGGTAGAGGGGCCGGAAATGGCGATGTACGGCACAAAGTACTGCATCTCTTCTGACCATGTTGAAGGCATTCTTAAAGTCCAGTTTGAGCAGGGCCTTTTCATCAGAAATGTTGGTGATGTATGCTCGTGCTGCATGGGCAGCCGCTTCACAGCCTTGGGGGATTCCAAATCCTAGCTGGATTGGTTTCAGCAATTCAGCCGCTTGCTGGCTGACAACCCTCGTAGCAGCCTTGGCAATCAGGCGTCGGAGAGTGTTGCCAACAGCGATTGGCCCGATTCCTTCGTCCTTCTTTTTGAGAGCACAGAGGGAGGCACCAAAAAGAGAGGCCTGATGACCTCAGGTATCTCACCAGCCAGGCACATGTTGACGAACCTTGTGAGTTCCATAAGAAGATCTTGTGCAGCATCACCTACCAAAGGATTTAACATTTGCTTGATGTGTTGAGGTTTTAACCCTGTAAAGCCGCCTGCTGACCCAGGTGGAAAAGAAAGGGCTGCTTTGTAGACCTCAGATTCACCAACGGTTAATGGGTCTGAAATAGTGATGGCTGATGGCGGAACAATGTTGTCACCTTGAGGGGCTCTGGGTGGGTGCTTGCTTTGCAGGGCCCGTGCTGTGGCTGAGTTTCGAGGAGCCATTTTCTCGTCACTGCTGAGGACTCTAATAGCACTTGCAGTATTTCCCTCTTCAATTTTCTTGGTGATTTGTGCTCTGATTTTGTACGTTTCCGGTATGTTGTTGTTACCATTTCTGTGGTGGGTGTGTTTTGCTCGGAGAGGCAGGCGAACTAGGTTGTCCCCTCTTGGGTATTCATTTATCGCCCTCAGGACCGAGGAAGCAAGTGATTTGTCCCTCCTAGGAGGGTCGGTGAGGCATACATTGCCAAACAGAAGGACATTATGCCCCGCTTGAATGTTTTCCGGGGCATCATTGTCCCTTTTCAGAAGATTACAGAGTTTGGCTGCTGCCTTTGGACAGGCTGCTTTTGGGATGTGTGGTAATGTTCTAGCAGACGTCGCTATGATCGCTTGGGTGAGGTTTTCAGATGAGATTAGGTAATTGGGAGTATCTTCTCGAACTGTCAATGGCAGCTGGTCATTGCTTCCCTTTGGAAGCTGGTGGGAACCACTGCATCTTACCTCGTTGACGGTGTGAAAGCGGATGACACCACCGTTGGAGTTTATGGCGGTGTTTTTGTTGCATACTCGGCAAAAACCTCTTTTAGGAGTAGTTGTTGGTACCTCAAGGCTTGTGGAGTCTGCCCGACCGCTGGGACCCCTTCCATTTCAACTCGGTTGGGAGAGTTAAACTGTGCATTGTTCTATAGAGGGGGGCAAACACACTGGGTCTATAGTGGTGGTGAGGGCAGTTTGAAATGCGGCCACTACCAGCCTCCTCCGCCTGACCGGTGAGCGGGTGTTCCTAGTGACGCCTTACTCTAAGGTTCACTTTCCCTCGCGCGCCTCCATCCGCCCCCGCCCTTCCCCATCCCGCCCCAGCCGTTAAGGTGGTAGGCCTCCCTCACTGGCACTGTTGCTGGTGTTTCAAGCTTGGCAAACAGGAGAAAATTGTAAAATACCGTTGACTGGGACGATGGAGGGACTTCAAACGCTGAAATTGTCTTCTAATGATGTTCACATATGTCCTGACCAACGCCCCACCTGCTTGACCTCACTGTTTTGTGATAAAGTATGAAGGTAGCCCGGAGCTCCACGGTGCGTCCGGTCTCCACGATACCCCATGGATATATATATATATATATATATATATATATATATATATATATATATATATATATATATATATATATATATATATATAAATATATATATATATATATATATATATATAATATATATATATATATATATAATATATATATATATATATATATATATATATATATATATATATATATATATATATATATATATATATATATATGTCGTACCTATTAGCCAGAACGCACTTCTCAGCCTACTATGCAAGGCCCGATTTGCCTAATAAGCCAAGTTTTCCTGAATTAATATATTTTCTCAAATTTTTTTCTTATGAAATGATAAAGCTACCCATTTCATTATGTATGAGGTCAATTTTTTTTATTGAAGTTAAAATTAACGTAGATATATGACCGAACCTAACCAACCCTACCTAACCTAACCTGGTTTCTGTTCTAGGTACACAATACCCCCAATAAAATTATATTACAAATCAACCATGCACAGTGAACATAAAAAAAGAGGAAAGAATAATGAAAGAAATAATCCGTAAAGGAGTAAAAAGCACTACTCCTAACCAAAACATAAACCTGATAATATTCTACAAAACCAAGAAGACTTCCGAACTCCTTATCAAAAACAGCCCGAAGCCGACGGAGAACCCTCTACAGCAGTCAAGCGTTGTATACATGTACACTTGCCCCCACGAAGGATGCAACCTTCAATGTAAGTACATAGGTATGACGTCGACCAAGCTGACGAGGCGTTTGACATGCCATCTTCAATCTGGTGCCCCTAGGAATCACATGAGACAAGCCCAT